GCCCCGCTGGGGTGCTCACAGCCTGAGGCCCTGCCACTGGCCAGCAGGCCACATCACAGCGAAGGCATGCGCTACCGTCCCAAAAGTGGGGTTTATCTCATTTTTATTGCTATTTTTTAATTACATAGTTGGTTGGGCATGGAGGCTTGTGCCACCAGCTCAGTCCCGGGCTCCTTTCTGAGCACCTGAGCCACCCATGAAATACATAATGGGGAGCAGCAATGCAGGGAAGAAGACCTGGGTGCGTTGTCTCAGGGCGTGATGCTCCAGCTGTGCCATACCTGGTGCAACCACTCTGCTCTTGGGATCTTTCCTGCCATGGTCGTAAATATGTAAGTTCTTTTATTTTATTGCTCCTTTTGAGTGAATCTGTTAGAGCCAATTTATCTTTTCTCCGTGGTCTCTCCCCAATTACCCAGTTACTCTTTAATCTGGCTGATTGCTTGTTTAGTTAAGGTATCGTGGACATCGCTACTTTCCTCTGAACCTTACCAGTTTTGGGGCAGGCATCCTCCCAGCACAGGCAGGGTCAGGCCTGTCCCCCCGCTCGGTCCCTGCGTCCCCAAGCAGGGATGGGGCATGCGCCGAAGCCGGTGACAGCCCTTGCGAGTGCAGCGGCGAGTGGCGCGATGGGACGTCTGCCGCACGCAGGTGTGCGCGTGTGGGTGGACTCTGCGGGACTACACCTCGCTTCCAGCACTGCCTCCTTCAGCATGTCTCCATCCATGTTCCCCAGCCCCAGTCGGAGCCTGGCTCAGCTCCTCCGGTTCCCTTCCTCCCTCCTGCCATGCACGGGAGATAAGCACCAGCACAAGCTGCCCTAAATACAGATTGATTAACGAAAATAAGTTAATGTGCCAGCGCTTATCACTACAAAGACCAAGGTATCACGTTTTGCACTGGGGCAGGTGGAGGCTGATGAGGAGCGGCTGGGAAGCCGCTGGGCTCGTGCCAGGGTGGCAGGAACCAGGTCCTCGCCTCCATCGCTCACCGGGCTGGTTTCCAACCCCAAATGGCTGCTAACCCCAAGGCCATCCACCCCAGGGCGTAGGAAGAGGTGTCGCCGGGGCGGAGGGCTCTGCACGGAGGCAGCCCTTCACGCGCCAGCCCCACGCACACCGCTTCGACGTCTCCTGCGGGCTGGGGTGTCTGTACCCCTGGGACAGTCTGTCTGTCTTGCACCAGGCTCTTGCACGGGGCTGGTATCACAGCTTGTGCCGTGTCCCCGCCATGGCATTTGCCATCAGCTGAGGGATAGACGGGGATGACAACTCCCCCAAGCACCAGCCTCCTTGGCACCGTGGCAGGTCCCTACTTCCCCTCGCAAAAGCCGCAAAGGCACCCGAGGCAGCCGTTGAGGATCTGGACGGAAGCCAGCACCATTTCAGCAGCGCTGACGCGACGCAAAAAAAAGGACGTGCCGGCCCCCGCCGCCCGCCGGCTCCAGGCAGATGCTCCAGGTGCGACGGTCATACAGGTAGGTCTCTGCCCTACATGACAGGGAGAGGAGGAGATGCAAGATGCTGCCCTGTGGCGGGTGAGGAATCGCATCGCTTGCCACCGTGGAGGTGTGCCCCCGACACCCCGACTTCATCACGAGGATGAGCGGGGTCAGCAGGGTGATGGGGATGGGAAGCACCACGTAGAAAGCCATGGAAGGCAAGGACCTCTTGAGCTACTGGGGTCTTGCATCAGCATCAGCAAGCCCACCCACCACGAACAGCACTGACTTAATTAGCGATGAGCTGATGAGGTGGCACTGGCAACTCAACCCCGCTGCCTCACCTGGCATCAGGCTCCTGGCCGCTGGCGTCCAGGAAGGGGTAACCCCAGAGGGTGCCGTGCCCACGGCCATGCTCGGAGGTGTTGTAGAAGCAGAGGGGTCCAGTGGTCAAGCCCACCCCGGAAAGGACGAAGCAGGCGGCAGCTCCCAGCAGTGCCAGCTTGGAGAGCACGGCGGAGATGAAAGCCTGTGGGCAGCACCCGTGGAGAACGGGGCGGGGGGACACCAAATGTCAGGCAGGCTCCAAAACGTGGCTGTGCCTCATCAGTGGAGTTTGGTAAGGGGGCAAAACTCCCCTCCCCTCCACCCCAAGAGGCTCCAGCCCCAGGGAGCTGAGGCTGAGGACAGAGCCGTCGCTGGGTTGGGTTGTTTTGAGCTGGGCAGAAGCGGGCAGGGAGCTGCCGTGCGGAGCCCGGTGGGGCAGAGCGCATGCCAGCACGAACGGGAAGCCCTGTCCCCTGGGGAGCTGGCGCCATGCAGCATCACACCGTGGGGCCACGGGAGAGGCAGCACCCTGCCACGTCCCCCCGAGGGGCAACGGCCACCCAACGCACACCACC